AACGGCAATTAATATATATATATATATATATATATATATGCGCATTTTTTGGTGCTTACCGTAGTGATGAAGTATTAGTAATACCATGCTCCCTTAGAAGCCTAAACAATAAGGCTAAGCCATAGAGGTTATTATTTTCTATCAAGTTGTTTATATTCTCCTTTGATGAACCAATGGATTTCAACAAGTCTTTGATCATTGAATCAAAATGATACTCCAGACCCAACTGGCAAATGATATCCACGAGTTCAAGCTGCTCAACGAGGTCATATTGCCCGCCAATCAAACATTTCACTTCTACTTCTAATTTCTCCCTCCGATGCATATACTTCTCCTCCTGTCAAAATTTAAACAGTGTTCATCAATTTGTGCTATATAAATATTTATATATAATGTATAATATTAATACATAAATTATTAGAAATATTTACCTACATGTCTTTTATAAATTCCTATCTATTTACATATAACTCCATCTTGTAACATTAGTAATAATTGAAACAGCTCTATTCTAAGTATGGATCCAATATGAAAACCTTGTTCTTCATAATCACTCAAACTAATTTAAATGATAATTAAACCATCCATTACCTTGAATTCAATTGGTAGCGATTGTATGTAGCTATCAGCCCAAATGGTTGGCTGATAATTTGCTGTGCGGCGAGTCGGAGTCGGAGTCGGAGTCCAAGAAGATGATGTTGCAGCAACGGCAGCAGAGAGGCAACATATGGGATGAAAAGTTGGTGAGGAAGAAGAGCTCAGAAGTGATCTTTTAGCATTGAATCTGAACAATGGAAAATGAAGGTAGAGATCCATTAAAGAATGCTTAGATATGCTTTAGCTGCTTAACACAGAAGAGCCTCTAATATATATGAGCTTTCATTACTTGATGTTCGTTGTTGACATTTATTTATTTATTTATTAAATAAATAAATACATAAAGCTTTAATGAACTGTTAAAATATTTTAGTGATATATGATGGGAAAGATTTTGACGATGAAAACTATAAGGTTTGTCTATATGCTTGTTTTACTCACACATGTACTTCTCCTAAGGCTAATATGAGGTGGTTTTCATGTCCTATAAATAAATTTGACAGTCAGAATTTTTCAACACGGCCTAATTTCAAACAAAATAACAAATATTATCTTTAGAGTCTAAATGCGTTTGGACTTCGTGTAAGGTGAAATTATACATGTTGTGCAGTAATTTGTACATGTGTTTATGTATATGTACACATGTATGTATGTATGTATGTATGTATGTATGTATCTGTATGTATGTATGTATCTGTATGTATGTATGCATATGTATGTGTATGTATGTATGTATATATACATCCATACTTATGTAATTTGCTTGATTTCCTCACATGGAGATCTTCAATGGCCAAATATCAACAAAGGCCAAGCAAAATATAAAATGTCATTTGTTCCGAATTTCCACAAATCTGTTTCTTATATTGGACTGTTTAGAAGTGTCAGTTGTTTTTAAAAAAAAATTCCATTGGTCAATTCAAGGCAAAGGCAAATAATATGAGATCCACCATATAGTCCATTATCAGTAATTAGTCTAAGATAGTTGATGAAATCAGGACTTGCCAAAAATAGGTGTTTGCATGAAATCCAAAATATTATAATAATAGGATAAAACTATGAGATATGTTTAGTGCATGAAAATTCATAAGGTTAAAACGAGAAATTGACGTTTTAAGAGTGTTTTTACGTGAAAAATACTTAGAAGTAAGAAAATCATGTAGTCTAAACCAACTGAAAATATTTTATCATTTAGATATAAGTTATAAAGCTATGTTTTTTTAATAGGAGAAGGTAGAGTTACTAGGGTGTAAGGTGTGAACTAGACCTTTTTCTTTAAGATAGTAGAAAATGTTGGAGAAATGACGACGATTGGGTGTCAATGGTGATGTTGGTGATGGTAGTCCAGTGGCATGCATGGGAGTAGCCAAACAACATATGGTTGGCAATGATGATTTAGCAATATCTGACAATGGCGATGACGTTGATAATGATGAAAACTACTGGGTATTGGTAGTGGTGTGATTGCAGCCCAATGGCGTAGTGGTCTAATGATGGTGGTGGCGACAATACTTCAATGATGATAGTTGGTGATAAAGATTTGATGTTTCAATTTAGTGATGGAGATGGCATTAGCACGATGGTGTCAATGGTATTGGTGGTTTGATGACAGTATTATGGCAGTGAAGGCAGATGTGACGTTGGTCCAAAGGCAACAACCAAATCTTCGTTCTGAATTAATCATATGATATATGCCAAAGGTCCCGCCCTGCTATAATTATGCCCAAGAAGTTAACATAAAAAACCTTTTTGATGTTGTAATGAATTCTATTCTCCAATATAGAATTGGTTTTCATCAACTTTAAGTCTTAATAGAAGGAAAAAGAATTACCCTTTTATAAACATGCCTAAGGCATTGACATGAAGATACTTTTGAGATTGTAGAAAAGGTTGCTCTCCAATATAGAACTAGTTTCCACACACTTGATGTCTATAATAAAGGTAAAAGAATTGCCCTAAAACAATTATGATGAAAACATTGGCGTGAATGACCTTGCAAGACTGTAGTGACAATTACTCCCTAGCACATAATTAATTCTCATAGATTTAATGTATAAACGAAGGGCAAAGATATTGTCGTACCACAATTGTGGCCAGAACATTGATGTGAATGAGCTCTCAAGGTTATGCTGAATGTTGCCCCTAGCCTAAAATTATCTGCTACATTGTTGAAAAGTTAGAAAATGACAAAAGGATTACCTTGCCACAACAATGCTTAAGACATTAGCATAAATGAACTTTTGAGATTTTAAAAGGTTTATTTACAGCTTATAATGGACTGCCTTAGACTTATTGTCTAAGTAAAAGGCAAAGAGACCTCCCTACCACAACAATGGCCGTGACATTAACGTGAATGATCCTTTGAGATTGTATTGAAGGTTTCCCCTCAATCTAGAATCATTTCTCAATATGATGTCAAACTTTTGGTGTGAAAAAATTTACTAGCTGTAGAAAATGGAAGTTAATATAGTAGCCTTTGTCAAAGATCCCAAATATAAATGGATGAAAAAAGAGAATAAGATTCATCAAAGATTTTTTTTTATATGAAAACCATTGGACTTAGATTAGTTGAAATGATTATCCAATGTAGATATAAGTTAAAATAATTTGCCTATCTCTCAAATAGGGGAAAACAGTGTTACAACAACATGAGATGTTGACTTAACTATTTTTATGATGAAAAAAATAATAAAGAAATGACAATGAGCATGAAATGATTGTAGGGGACGGATAGTGGGGGTTGGGCGATGGTGGTCTAATAATGATGTCGACAGTAGTGATCCATCAATTGCAGTGGAAGCCGGGTGATGGATCATCAATAATGATGGTCTAATTACAACAACAATCCAACAACTGTGGTAACGACAATGACAATGGCAAAAACAACTGGGTCGTGGTAGCAATAAGATGGTGATCCAACAACTTTGATGGCCTAGCGAAGATGATGGTGATGAAGGTGGTGATAATAGGGCAGTATTGGTGATATCGAAACAATGCTCTTAGAACAACTATAATTTAATGATGACTGTGGTACAACAATTGAAGTAGCCAAACAATAGTGATCCAATGATGATGAATGAGTGGAGCTCAAGAATCTTCAAGCCCTCAAAGCTCCCTCGAGTCTTCTCTACTAAATCCATGTTTCTCTTCTTCTTATAAAGAAAGCCAGGTTCTATTTAGAAAATTTAATAGTGGCAATCTTCATAAATATCACATGAATCTAGACCACGTAATCAAATGGTCAGAGTGACCTCCTTAATATTATAGCTTTCTTGAGCCTTCAAATTTTTAATGATGTCATGATCAAGTGATCTTAAGTTTTTTAGATTTTTCTCATTAAGATGCTTGATTTGACTAAAAACTTGCTAAATTTGAAAATTATTTATTTCTCCAATTAATGTTTCAATATTTTCTACTATGCTTCAAGCACATGACTTGGACTCAAGTTCACCATGTTGTTGAATTTGATAATAAATTTATTGAAATTTGAGCAAAGATTAATCATTAAAATATAATTTAAATTATGATTGTCAAAATCTAATTGTAGATGATACATTTCAATATATGATACTCAATGCTTGGAAATAGAATAGTATGTATGTTAAAAATTATTTTTTAAGGGAATAAACACATGCATAAGAGATAAATCATTATGCTTGTTCTTATATATTGGTATCAAATACATAATATAAAGCATGACTCAAGAATATCATTTCAGAAATATTTGTCATGAAGGGTATATATATATATATATATATATGCATATATAGACACTATGCATGTCAGGTGTCTAGCTAAATAGAACATATCATATGGTGATTTTTACATAAAAACAAATAAAATCAATAAATAATGTCATAAATAGAGTCGGGTGTCATATGAGAGTTCTCCTAGTTCATCAACACAAATCATATAATGTACCAACCCTTATATTTTGCATATCTCAAAGATAAAATGAATAGATTATTCATCTTTTGTTCAACTAGACGATTAAAATATCCTAAATTGAGAAGCATCATTGTTCTTGAAGGTATGGTGGAGCATTTATCAATCATATATTTTGTCGAAGTACCAACATACTATTAATTTATATGGTTATATTTAAATACTTGAAGGGTGAGAAGAGAAGAATAATTTTAACGTTGTCTGGATCAAAATGAGACACTATTGAGTTTATTTTAATCCTTTCTCTTTTATGAAGCTCACTTATTAACATAGAATTAGATTATCTTCTCAAGAGATTACTTATTGGATTAAGCTCACCATTTTTAAGTTATAAGTTTAATAAGTGAGACCATGGTAGAGATGGCATCATTTTATGGTTTTGATCATCTCAATGCTTAGCAAAGTTTTCAAAATACAATTTTTATCATTAAAGGAATATAAAGTGCATACATCATAAGAAATGCAGAACTTTATTTAGAAAGCAGATTGTAACATTCTATGGATCTTAATATTCATTCTTTCTACATGAGTTGAATATTCTAGGATAAAGTAATTGGATGATCATGCAGAGAGCTCAATCTTCATAGCTTACTATGCAAATTTTATAATTCATTCTTTTGAGAAGAAGTATGTTTAGTAAGGTCTTCATCTTCCTTGAGGTAGAAATATGGAAATGAGATATAAATGAAAATTCCAAAAAGAAGAATTTTGTAAAATCATGATCAACCCTTCCATGTCTAAAATGATTTGTTCGAGAACCGACAAGAAGTCTTTTAATATAAAAATTTGCTATAAGATCCATCCACATCACAAACCATGACTGCTAATTCTAAGTACTTAACTCCTATTAAAATCAAGAGTTTTGAAGAGAAATATGTGACAAAAATAAAATACAACAAACTATTCTGTTTGTATTATGAAGGTGAGCCTATAAGATTTTGTCTCAATGTTGGATCAAACTTAGAGATTTATGATAAGTTCAATTTTTTTTTTTATTGTGAGATTAGCATATATTGTAGGAGCAGAAAATTTATTTAAAAAATAAAACCTGCAAATACTGTTATGAGCAGTCACTACATAGCAACTCTAGTGGCTATGGGCTAACAGATTACAAAGAGATATTTGCATCAATTTCTCTTCTTATAGAAGTTATCTATTCCAATGGTTACTCACACACTACAACTAAAATATGCATGTGCTTGGTATGAAGCTTATGTTTCTCCATCAAGTGCCTAAGGAGTAAGATTATTTGATGTAGCTATAGTATTTAATTTAAAGTTAATGTACCTGCATATGGCCTAAAGCATTCATTAAAAGCTTGAAATGCTTGCACTAACAGTAATTTGTAGAAGAAATGATATTAAAAGTAGCATTTACCTACACACCACCCAATTATTACATAGTTGCATGTCTGGCACCTAAGCTTTGCTTTTTACACTTACATCACCCCTATAGGAATTTTGTAGATTAGCATGGTATATTTCCGTCAGTAATAGGACAAAAATCCAATGTAAACTCCTATTACTAAATAATTTACCTCAAACAAATGTCTAACACAAAATATGGGGTGCAAAGCTAATTGGCTAAAATGTTTACGTCGGATTTGTGTCTGAAAGGTGCACTATTAGGATGTCCTGACAAGATTCTTATGAACATAAAATCTAACTCTGAAACAAGCGTATGGTTTTGTCGGACGTAGACTTAACGTCAGAATACATCAGAATTTGGTGACGCTAATTTGTATTGGCAAAATGCGAACACGTCTGACTCAAACCTTCAGTAAATTTAAAAATACATTAAATAACAATAACATTTTGTATGCCTGCACAAAAAAAAAAACAAAACAAAACAAAACAAATCAAAAACAAACTATTAGAGTCCATCCAATATTTACTAATCACATACACAACATATTATACAAACATATATCAACAATGAAAATAAATAGAAATATCATACATGACACAAAATCTACTAAGTTTTCCATCCACCAAAAATTTATAAAATGTAAACAAAAAATATATATGCACCGTACAAGCCCACATATTAAACATGAAAAAAAATCATAAACCCGTGCAATCTCATTACAATCATCCTCCTCCTGCCCCTCCTCTTCCTCTTCCTCTTCCTCTTCCTCATGAACTGAACTCACTTGCTCGGTGATCAAAAACTTACTTCAATCACACTACCGTGGCCTCGACTCTCTGTTGTCACTCACATAGTTGACGAAGCTCCTTAGTCATAACAATGACACGCCAAACAAGTTCGTAATAGTCCAGTGACAGTAACCTCGAAGTATGAGCAAATCAGGAGTGCTTGGCCTAAAATGCAATATTCTTTACACCTAAGTTGTATACCTTCCCCTTCTTCCCACTAGTCTACCTTTAGATCTCACAGTGAAACTGTTCAAAAGCAGACTGACTATTACTACTATTAGCAATGTTGGGTTCTATGTATGGCTCTGGCTCTAGCTCTATGTGTTCGTAGTCACTCTACATAATTAAAACAAAAAATTAATTAAAATTTTATATTAAAAATGTCAATAAATTATAGAAAATCAAAGTGTTTTACTTATATAGATACGTAGAGATATGTTGTAGACCCACTGCTGCGTCTCCGAACACTAATACGTCTTGCCATGCAACTCCACAGCCAATAAATACGCAAAAATTGTAAGAATTGGATAATTGCATTATTGAATTATCAAGTATTGAGTGAATCTTACTAAGTTCCTCCAGTGCTCTTGGCGAGGGATCAATTCTCTAATGTGGAGTGCAACACCCCTGCCTCCTTTGGTGCCCTTGTTATGCTGGTTTGTATCCCTCTTCCTTTGATATTTAGGAGTGACAAGTAATCTCATCAACTCCACCCATATCTCCTCCCCAACCCAGATCGGCCACTCTCTCTTCCCACAAGCCGTTGTGAATACATCACTCAGTCGATGCCTAGTATGATCCATAAAATTATGTTGGATCTCATTATAATGCTCGACCAATCAATAGAAGGACCTCTGCAAAATAATTACAATGCAATATTTACTAATATAACAAATAAACATAAAACTATACTTCTAATTCAAATCAATGGATTTTAAGTCTAACTTCATAAACCACATGTCCCGAGTTGTGATCGGGATCTTCTTCCAAGAGAGATACAAAGCATCGAAAATAGTCAACCACTTAAGTATACATGTTAATCAAGCAATATGCAAAATTAGAGACTGCAAATCGATCCTACGAGAAACCATGTCAACTTTTCTAACATGCTAAGTTTCAGTTTATTACACTGTTAAGTTTATTTTGAAGGTTTAGATTTGTAGAATGTAAATGGTTTTAATATTCAGATGCAGAAATCAGAATAAAAACAAAGTTTCGTTGAAGTTATTCAGAGGTGAAATGTTCATACTCATATGACATTGGTCTAGTAATTCCTCGATACTTTATTCTGTGAGTTTCCGACTTTGTTGCTGACAACTAGGTATAAATGCTCTTTAGCTTATATTTAGATCATAAGAAGCATTGGACGCCCATATTATAACTAAGTGGGACTTAACCATGCAAGGTTGCTAAGGAATCCCTAATCCCCTGTCTTGGTTGGACTCTCCTATTGGCAATATGTCTGTTCTAATAAGTGTGTGTGTGTGTGTTAACATATTTGTTCTTCTAGTCAATTATTAGAAGTTGTAGATCACAAAGAGTTTTAACTTTGTAATTGGTCAAATCATGAGTAAACTACGATCGAAAAGTTAAAACATCATATATGAAATCCAAAGCATGAAAAATATCTAGAGAAAGCTCATGAATCAAAACATCGATTCATCACATGCCTTATATCACATAAGCATGAAAGGGAAATAACTACCATGCGTGAGGGAAGGAAACACAAGGATTTAATTGCAAATATTAAGGAAAATGATATAAATAGGTACAAGTAATTCACGCTCGAGCCAATTTCCCTCTGCAAAACCCTACAATCCCTTACGTACAATGCTAGCACTCAATGGATCTCCTTCATACAAGTACACATATTCTCTCTCTCACAACTCTCATAACTCTAAAAAAAAACAAACACCATAGAAATCTTCCCCAACTAATATAGAAAATCATTGGGCAAGATCAAGACTCCCTTAAACTTTGAGAAGAAGCAACCTCTAGAAACCAAGTCTCCCTAATGTTCCATGCATTCCCTTATATATTCAGGGCTCAAATTTCAGGAATAATTCCCTGTAATTTCATCAATTTATGGAACAATTCATTGTGTGCAAAGGGCTAGCACGAGCGAATTGGGCTCCTGCGCGGGTGTGACAAGTGCTCTGTGAGGCGGTGTGGTGCACACTTCCCCAGAGCACTGGCATGTCGCTTATCCAAGAACGTGCCTGGGCATGCTTCCCCTTGGCGCGGGCATGCTTTCCCTAGGCATGAGCATGCCGCCTATCCAATAAGGGGCGTGTGTATGCCTCTCCTTGGCGTAGGTGCGTCAGTTCTCTTTTAGCCACTTTGCATCTTTAACTCCCCGGAAGACGCTCAACACTTATACCCTATAAAACATTAAAAAAAAAAAAATTACTTTCCACATGTAAAGTCATCAAAATAGGAAAATAAAGCATGGAATTTGCGAAGAAAAACCTCACAACTTCGATTCACACCAATAATACAGCAACTAGGCATCATGATTAAATACTTTATATGGACTCAATCATACATGTATGAATATGAGCTTGTATAAATTGCCACGCAAAACAACTTCCAACATATGAAGTAAGAATCAAAGCATGCAATCTTAGAATTTGTAAGAAGCATTCATTAGATCAACAGCGCCATAAACATTATTACATGTAAATCATAAATATAGTGTCAGTTGAATGTAACTTATGAACAACAAATAATATGATGTTTGAATGTTATGGCATCGTTATTCACACATGCACGTCATAAATTTTATTTCATAAAGTATGCATGTCGTAGAACAACATGATAACTAATAAAAATTAAAAATATTCAAATAAAAAAAAAATGAAAACTATTGCCAAAATTTAAATCATGAAAATTATTAAAAGGATATATTTTTTATGTATTTTCATATCTAATACCTAAACTTTGCTTTTTTACATTCATCTAATCCAAATCGTTCATATCACAAAAAAAAAAAAAAAAAAAAAAAAAAAAAAAAATTAAAAAAACATGCATTAAAAGGATGGCTTAATGCTTATATGAAAAAATTGAAGTTTAGGCCTTAGACATGTAAGTACATAAGAACTTAGGGTCTGTTTGGGGCAGCTGTAGCTTATTGAATAATCTGCTGATAAGCTGATTAAAAATAATCTGCTGATAAGCTAGGTACGGTGGTTATTACAAATTTTTATTTTTTTGAAAAAGCCATACCGTTGCCAATAAGCTCCCACCGCACCCAGATAGGCGCGGTGTGAAAACGTTGTTTTCTGTGTTTTGCACCTAGATAGGCGCGGTGTGAAAACGCTGTTTTCTACGTTTTGAAAACGCACAAGCTGTCAAAACACAGTTTACCCAAATAGGCCAAGTGCGTTTTCAAAACGCCACTGCACCAAATAAGCTTCCCCAAACGGGCCCTTAGTGTTATGTATGTCAATCTTCTTATGAATGGATAATAGAAACTGTTATAGAATGACGTGTTAAAATAATGGCTTGCATTTTAAATAACACAAACTTTGACAAAATGCTTCAAATCATAGAAGCAATTGATGTCATGCACAATAAAGACTCAAAAAACTACATAAAAATTTTAAAAAATATATATCACATTGAGTTTAAAATATATTTATGAAAATTCTTCGAAAAACAGACACCACATGACCTAAATAATTCAGTTGTATGATCATGTGTAAATTGTAAAGAAAGCATGGCAATAAATAAATTATGTACATTTTTATATAATGCCCATCAACATTTGGAGAAAATTAAAGAGAATATAACGTTGAATTTATAAAAGTATAGTGAAGACTATTCATAAAACAAACATAAAATAAGTCCAAAAAATCCAGTTATATATTCATAAAATTAATGACAACGTACCAGGATTCAATGAATCAAATCACTGCTCTTTAGATATAGAATATGATTATTCATAGAGTGAAATGCTTGAAAAAATAGTGAGGTGTGTACATAAGAGTATCACATTAGCCAACAGAATATTTTGATTTTCAAATACACTTGAAAAACGTATCTGCCAACGCCCACCTCCAGTGGCCGCTTGCCACAGTGGCTCACCTCTCTCCATAAGCTGTCCTCCACAGTTTCGCCATTGTACACCATCTCAACCCAGCTATTGCCATTGGTCGCTATCATTGGCTATTGATCAATGTTGTGATCACTGACTACTACCTTCTGCCTCTCACCACCCACTGCCATTGCCTATTGCTTATTGCCTCTTGCCACCACCCACCACCACCACCCAGCACTCACCACCATGTCTACAGCCTATTGTTTCTTGCCACCACCCACCAGCAATTGTCATTAAGCATTGTCGTTCCTACTGACCAAACACCATCATCATCCATTGTTCACAACTGAGTTCTATATTGTTTATTTTAAAACAAATTAAAAAAGTAAAATCATGCGCTTGCATTACATCTAACAATCCAACTCTAAAATATTTTCAAATATCTACAATATATTCTTTTTTACACTATATTTCTTTTCAATAAACCCAAAGACCCATTAATCAATTTGCTCTAACATTTTCACTGCATTTTGCAAAATATTTTTATTTCACCCGTACCATATAATTTGTTGGGTGTTAATTAGCATAACCAATACAAATCCTAAAAGAATGTCAGCACAGGAGGACATGGGAGAGAATTTATTAAAGGAGCCTATAATTTATTAAATTTACTCTAGAATGCCAGTGATATTCATATATATCACATAACTTTTATATATTTATGTATTTAACATCTAAATTTTAATATTTACTTACATGTTGTTCCTACAATTCCTCAATCAAAATAAATACATAAAAATATTTATCTCACTACCAAAAATTGATATTTATGATATATTTACACTATTTAAAGAATGATAGTTATATAAATAAATATCAAAATCTAGATATTAGATATATAAATACATATGGTATATGTGTAAATATCTCAATTTATAATTTACACCTCTCAAAATAAATGTAATAAATTTTATACTTTGAAACTTATTGAAGTAAAATAATATTACTATTAAAAAAAACTCCCATGCGGGGTCTCAGGTTCCGAACGTTGCAAAATTCCGAAATTCAAAAACTGGCAGACAAAGTAACCCTAACAGATTTGAACACAACAACAAAAATCCAGAGAGCGGAAAGGAGTTCGGAGGATGAAAAGCTCCAGTATTTCTTCCGGCGCCTCCTCAAAAACGCCGGCGAGCGCCTCCTCAAAACCGCCGGCGATCACTACGGCGGCGCCCTCCTTCACGGCCGCCGCTGCACGGCACCGTTCGGAAGGCCGAGCCGATAGCAGCAGCTACTTCCCTGGTTGCCGGAAGGAAACCAACTGCGACTGCAAAATCTGCTTAGCAAGCATCAATGCAACCCTAGACCTCATTCCCACCGGAAGCTCCATCACAAAAATCTCTTCTTTAGGCAAAAGAGCGGCGACTTCTGTAGGCAAAAGAGTGGCGACTTCTGTAGGCAAAAGAGCGGCGACACCTCCGCCGCGGCCGGTGATGGAACCTGCGACACCTCCGGCTACCCCCGACCACCTCATTCCAACTCAATCATTCTCCCTCACACCTCCCATTGAATCAACGGCTAAATCTCGGCCACATATTCGGGGAATTTCGGGTAATAAGGGCGGATTTTGTGTTCTAGGGCTTTGGAAACTGATGGTTTTTGCAGGGATTCTCTTCTTCGCAGCGGTAGAACTGAAGTTTGTAATGGAGGGATTTGGTCCTAAATTGACGATGGAAATGTTGGAGCAATTTGTAGAGGATTCTGGATGTCAAGCCGCGGATTTGAGAGCGAGGTTAAGGATTTTGGAGCTGAAGGTTGCAGAGGTCGTTGATGGAGGAGTCTTAAATTGCAGCTCTTTGAACACTGCCTGGAAAATGAAACAAGTAAATTTCTTTCTTGTTGATGTCATTCTTTTGTCTCAATTTGTCAAAATAAATAGATAAATTAAAAGGTTTCTCGTTTTGTTTGCATATACCACATACCAGTTGTTGAAACTTGTTTTTTGTGCAATGAAAATGTATCTCGATGCTTTAAAACTATCCTTAAAAGGCTCAAAGATTGCATTTTTCTGTTTCTTTCTCTGAAAATATTTTCTAACAGGCAGGTCGTCAGTTCTTCCACTTCAGATGCGTTGTATACGACTCCATGGCAGAGGAAGTGAGTGTCTGGGGAAGCCCTCTGCGAACATCTGGCCTGATCTCAACCGGGTTTTATTCTAGATCACTTGCGCTCCTTTCAGGAAAGATTACAGAGGTGCCTGTCTTTTTTTTCCGGAGCAATCTTTACATACACTCAATTCCTATGTTTTTACATATCTAACTCCTGAACTTTAATTTTTATATTTACACCACCCAAATTTTTTTATATCACATCAAAAATACCACCATTTTAACATTTCAAAAGGTAAAAAACACTTTTTCATGCATAGATAAGGTGATCTGTATGTAAAATTGAAGTTCAGGTGTTAAATAAGTAAATACATAGGAACTGAGAGGTATGTATGTAAATCTTCCTTTTAATGTAACTGTCTGATGTCATGTTATAGGTTAATGCTAAAGAGTATGAAAAATACGGCCTAAAATGGAGGGGAAAACATTCCATTGACTAGTTTGTTCTTACAATTAGCAGTATTAATAGGAATTTTAGTTCACTCAACTTCATTTAAGGCCATAATTTTCCTATTTTTCAGCATTACTTCCTGTTTATGTCTCGGGGAGGGGAGGGGACCCCGAAACGGTTAGTGCCAAGTGGGACAGAGGGGAGGGGACCCCTGACCGGTTTGTTCCAAGTGGGAGGAGGGTCAGTCGGCCCTCACTCTAGGCCTAGGGTTGTCGCCCACTCCTAATAGCAGCAATGATATTTTCATTTATTTGCTTGTATTAGGTTTAGGCCTTTATTTATTATAAATATATAGTTGTTTATTGTATTAGGGACTTTTTTGTTCATTTGTGAGTGTCTTCGCTCCCTTTGTGATTTTGAGGTGGGGATGAGTATGTATCTAATGTATTAAGTGGTGGCAATTGTATCTCTCCGTTGTTGGTGGTGATATCTCGAGTCTCTTTCCTTCATCAACTTTTTGGGTTGTGATTTCTGCATCTTGATCAGTTGTAATAGTAGGAAACTCTTGTATCCTATATCTTTTATTTAATTATTGTGTCTCGTCTTTGTTCTGGTTTTTTTTTTATCTCGGATTGCTTTCTTGGTTGTTCTTGTTTAATCTTCTACGACTCCCCTTCACCGGTATCATTTGATATCAAAGCTAGTCTAACATGAATTCCATCCTAGAGTTACCAAAATCCTCCCAAACCTAAACCCACCAAACCATGGCCAAATCTTGATGTAACCCTAATTTTCCCTTGTTGATTTTCAAGATTTGCAGCTCTAAATGTTTTTTTCCGCACCCTAGCTCCATACACCCTTTTTCATCTCTCAAACCTATACCCATCAAATTATAGCCAGAACTAATGCTAATTCCCCCTTACTGATTTTCAAAATCAGCAACCCCAAACATTTATTTTGCACCTTAAATCAATCCATACAGTCTCTTTCACCTTCAAACCTAATCTCACCAAATCATAGTCAAATCTTGACCTAACCCTAATTCTCCTTGTTAATTTTCAAAATAAGCAACCTTAAATAGTTTTAATGCATCCTAAATTAGTCTCATACACCCTCTTTCACATCACAAACCTAAACCCTAGTCATGTCATTGAGGAGACAAGTGTCTAAAGTTGAAGGGCCTCCAATCTTAGAAGATTACGACAACTCTACCACCATCAAAGCGGCCTGTTTGACGCCATATCATGAGAAGTCAGATGTTTCAATAGATGAGGTCGAAACTCCACCAACCCTTGTATGTTGATGCAAGGAGGTGACCCAAAACCTGTTTGTTTCAAGTGGGGGAGGGTCGGTAGGCCCTCTCTCTAGGGTTAGGGTTGTTGCCCACTCCTAATAACGACATGGTTATTTTATTCTGTTTCATTTTATTAGGTTTAGGTCCCTTATTGATCATAAATATGGTCATTTTTGTATTAGGGGAACTTTTTGCTCAATTGAGTTTTGTAAAGAACTGCGCTCCCTTTGTATTTCCCAGATGGGGATAAGTATGTATATCTATGGCGTTGGGTTGTGGCAACTGTATCCCTCCATTGTTGGTAGTGACATCTAGGGTCTCCTTTCTTCGCTAATCTTTCGAGTAGTGATTTTTATATCTTGATCGGTTGCAAGAGTAGGAAACTCTTGCATCTTGTACCTTTATTGATTAGTGCATCGCCTCTTTATTCTAGTTTTTTTTTTTTTTTTGTGAATTTTCTCTAAGCCCTTTTCTCCGAACTCAGTTACTTATAAGAGAAGTGCAGCGCATAAGAAGTTTAAGTGTCATCGCCATTTTTTTTTATCGGGCATATAATATAATATGTCAAAAATATAAGGCTCAATTCCTTAATGGCAATTTGAGCCAATCGAATCGATATTTTCAATTCTTGAATTTGTTTGATTTAAAATGGTTTTAAATGGTTTTCAATGCTTTGGTGTGAACTAATTTGTTATAAATTAATGAATCATTATTGTGTGGTATATAAAAAAGTGTAGGATCAATAAGCAAGTCAAATTGTGCATTTTGATTGTAACAAAACAAAACATTAAAATAATTTGCAAAATGATTACCCTCAATGTGTTAAACTAAATTAAAATAATATAAATAGAATAAAATCAAACATGCCAGGAGTCAATCATTCACTGCAAAAAGAGCAGAGTCACATATATATTCTTGCATTAACGCCCTCAAAATTATAAATTCAAATGAAGTAAATATGTAGTAAAGTACATAATGGTAACCTGGGACAAAAAGAGACGAGAAAAGTGTCAAATTGAAGGCTCAATTCCTTAATGGCAATTTGAGCCAATCGAATCAATATTTCAATTCTTGAATTTGTTTGATTTAAAATGGTTTTGAATGCTTTGGTATGAACTAATTTGTTATAAATTAATGAATCATTATCGCGAGGTATAGAAAAAAGTGTAGGATAAATGAGCAGGTCAAATTGTGCATTTTGATTATAACAAAACAAAACATTAAAATAATTTGCAAATTGATTGCCCTCAATGTGTTAAACTAAATTAAAATAGTATAAATAGAATAAAATCAAACATGTCGGAGGCAATCATTCACTGCAAAAAGAGCAGAGCCACATATATATTCCTGCATTAACGACCTCAAAATTATAAATTCAAATGAAGTAAATATGTAGTAAAGTACATAATGATAACCTGGGATAAAAAGAGGCAAGAAAAGTATCAAATTGAAATTAAAAAGTAAAACGTTGATATTAGTTAGGAAGGTATCAAAATGTTTTTTAGTGAACAATCTAAGCAATAATCATTTTTTAATGAAGCAAGTTATCCAATTAAAATTTATTTAAATCTTAAAGAGGTTGAAGAAATAAAAGACCCAAAGTCAGGGTAAAACTAGTCACACGTAGAAGGCATGAAGCCAAAGAGAAAGAACTTGGACAAACAATCATCAATTATCATAATCGGAATCTAAAAGTAGGATTTGAATGTGAAAGAGGAGTATTGTGGTGGTTGTTAGAGATTATGATGCACCAATGCTCATATTTGTTTTCAACCCAAAACTTTAAGCTTTCAAGTGAGGGTCAATCAGTTGATATTTTTATGCAAACTACTTTGTTAATACTCCAATTTGGGACTAAACCCAAACTCTCACATGTATTACCAATCTCATCACATGGACGTTTTCTCATTTGCCATCATCTTCATTCAATGAATTTTTTTTTTAACATCATTAAGTGTTATGCTCTAAAAGCCCAGTCAATCACATGTAGCCATTATAATAGTTGCACTCTTGAACCTTGCTCAACCATGTTTAAAAGCTATCAAAACCTATTAGAGCCATAAATCTCATTGACTAATCTAAGTAGAACCAAGGACTCAAGTCATTTATTAGGGAGTGAGCACAGTGAAAACAATCACGGGCCTGATACACTAGAAACAATTCATTTTTTGCTCAAAAATAGAAGCCCATAAATGAAGATCAATCACCTACTATTCCTATGCCAAACCAAAAGAGTTTATGAGACTGATTGAGGATTCAAGATGTTTATTAGGTTTAGGTGTTGTAGGTGAATAACAAAACAATTGTGAGCTCACTGCCATAAAATAGACAAAATATTAAACCTAAACTAAGTCGAAATAAAACAACCAATATAGTCAGTTTGATCAGGATTTTTGGATCAATCATCATTTTTGCACAGCCTTACATATAAGATAGTTAAGGTATATGAAATATTATTATGTAACTGTCATTTTTTATTGTCATGCCCAGTTTATAGTGTTCCTGCCATTGTGGAGCTTGGGTAAGGGCTTATTTAGATAACCTTATCCTTTACATTTTTGTTTTAACCATTCAATCTTAACTCTAAAAGTTATATCATTCTTCTTTATAGTAGATTCAAGATACTTAGTGTCCATACATAAATATTGTATTGCCTTCTAATAAAATTGAATGATAGTTTTTAACACATTCATTAAAATTATATGCCATATAATGTAAAGGTATGTATCAGGGCGCCTCTTTTTGAATATCCTTTGTAAGCATCTCCATAAATAATATTAAAAACATGGATTCAACATTGATCATTGATATAAACCAACTATAATTGAAAACTTTTGGATCACTTCATAATTACTTAATTGTACTAATGAGGGCTCCATCATATGTATATTTAACATTATCAACATATATGTGACATACATTTCTTAAAGAATACTGAGTTTTTATGATTTTAAATTATATAGACTCTCGGGGTAACATAAACATCGGAAGATCCTTTTTGTTTTATCTATACAACTCCAAAAAAAATCTTAGCATAATTTTTTTTTGCAGTAGTTATTTTTTGGCATGAAATCAAATTGGCTCTTTAAAATTAATGTTACTTTCTAAGTATATGTTTCATTACTTGCTCCAATATCTTCATTATATGATTTATACGTGTGACTCTTATGTAGTTATCACATCTTAAAGATTGAATTTATTCTTAAATATTAGTGTTAAAATGTTTCTCCTCTATTCATTTGGTATCCACTTAGTTTTTAGAATTTCATTAAAAAAGTTAGCCAAATCAATACAGTATCCCCATAATTGTCCACAATCGAGACATATATTTCCTACTTAAAGAACACCAAAAAAAAATTTATGGTGTTCATTTATATACACTCTTGGGGTTACAAAAACA